ACAGTCACATTCACAATATTATTTTATATATAAATTTCATATTGCATATTTCTTAATTATATATAATATTTATTAATAACTATATATGCTGTCTCTTATACTTATCTATATATATATATATATAATAAAATGGGTTAAGATTATTATTTTATTAGTCAAAGTATCAAAATAATTTAATTAATTATATATATGACCAAGAGTATAGATATACCATGAAATGCAAATACTATATGTAATATTTTAATTTGATTAGGAACCAAATTAAGAATATTGATATTCAGAAAAGAAAAAGAGTAAGGTACATAAAAGATTTATGATCCCATCATAAACAATATACATATTCTTTGTTTCTTTCTTTTCATTTCATATAAAATTCATTAGAATAACATTAAATTATAATATTATATTAATCGATTTATTTATTCAATCGTAATAATAAAATTACACTTATATTAGAAAATAAAAATAATTATATAAAAATATCAAAAATTATTTTACATGATAAAAATAACAACAAATTAAATATTAAAAAAAATAAAAATAATCAAATGTCATAGAAACTATTCCATATATTGAATGAAATCACATCTTATCACAAAATTCATGACAATTATATTAAATTACTGTATTATACTAATCGATTTCTTTATATAATGGTAGTAATAGAATTACACTTATGTTAGAAAATAAAAATAATTATATAAAAAAAATATCAATAAATATTCTACATGATAAAAATAACAACAAATAAAATATTAAAAAAATTAAAAATAATCAAATATGTATCTTTGAAACAATTTGATACATCATTGAATAAAACAACATTAAAAAAATTAATATTTTCACAAATCAAACTAGTGAAACTATTGAAAGATAATGAAAATTTTTTTAGCAAAACAAAAATATTCTAGTGAAACAAAAATTAAAGATAAGAGAATAAATAAAATAATTTTTATATTACTCAATAAATGAAGGGTTTATGCAACTCAACTCTTAAATTGATAGTTAAACATTCTTATGTAAAAAAATATATTAAAAAAGAATAAAAATATTTAATTATGAAATGTAAAAATTATTTAATTTACATATATCATTTCAACAACACAAAATATCTTAGATATGTGAATTTATTTTATAGTAAGTCAAATAATTAGAATAGGAAGAAAAAAATGTGTAACAATTTCTAAAAAAAAGTACTTATACAAAGGAAAGGAAGTTAAAATCAAAATCATAAATTTCTTTGAGTGTAATTTTACTAGATTATTGCAAGCACTTAATTAAATCAAAATGTAAGGAAAATCAAAATTTTAACTTTTTTTAAAATTATATAATCTCTTAAACTTTATTAGAAAAAAAAAAAATATATATATATATATATATAACTAATTACATAAGAATATATTTAAAAATATATATTATTTAAGTAATATANTATTTATAAACGTTCTAGTAAGACAATTTTATATTTTAAGTACTAAGATCAGAGCAGTTTAAAAGTAAACTGTATCTTGATTCTATAATTCAAAAATCCCATCGACCAATGCGCATGCTGATAGTTGAACTGTATAGTAAATTTAAATTGTTTTTTAGTTATTATTAAAACTATTTCAAATTGTTTATCGAATTAATTACACTTAAATGCATCACATGCTGAGAATAAAAAAACAAAACACAATAAAAAAAACAATTAATTGAAAGATTCAAGGAATATTATGTGAGACCTTAGCACTAGAATCCAAAGTCAACATGAGTTTTATACCATGTAAACAAAATGATAGTGTTAGCAATTTGTTCAAATATATATATATATATATATATATATATATATATATATATAGATACTATATATATAGAGATATATATATAATAAAATGGGTTAAGATTATTATTTTATTAGTCAAAGTATCAAAATAATTTAATTAATTATATATATGACCAAGAGTATAGATATACCATGAAATGCAAATACTATATGTAATATTTTAATTTGATTAGGAACCAAATTAAGAATATTGATATTCAGAAAAGAAAAAGAGTAAGGTACATAAAAGATTTATGATCCCATCATAAACAATATACATATTCTTTGTTTCTTTCTTTTCATTTCATATAAAATTCATTAGAATAACATTAAATTATAATATTATATTAATCGATTTATTTATTCAATCGTAATAATAAAATTACACTTATATTAGAAAATAAAAATAATTATATAAAAATATCAAAAATTATTTTACATGATAAAAATAACAACAAATTAAATATTAAAAAAAATAAAAATAATCAAATGTCATAGAAACTATTCCATATATTGAATGAAATCACATCTTATCACAAAATTCATGACAATTATATTAAATTACTGTATTATACTAATCGATTTCTTTATATAATGGTAGTAATAGAATTACACTTATGTTAGAAAATAAAAATAATTATATAAAAAAAATATCAATAAATATTCTACATGATAAAAATAACAACAAATAAAATATTAAAAAAATTAAAAATAATCAAATATGTATCTTTGAAACAATTTGATACATCATTGAATAAAACAACATTAAAAAAATTAATATTTTCACAAATCAAACTAGTGAAACTATTGAAAGATAATGAAAATTTTTTTAGCAAAACAAAAATATTCTAGTGAAACAAAAATTAAAGATAAGAGAATAAATAAAATAATTTTTATATTACTCAATAAATGAAGGGTTTATGCAACTCAACTCTTAAATTGATAGTTAAACATTCTTATGTAAAAAAATATATTAAAAAAGAATAAAAATATTTAATTATGAAATGTAAAAATTATTTAATTTACATATATCATTTCAACAACACAAAATATCTTAGATATGTGAATTTATTTTATAGTAAGTCAAATAATTAGAATAGGAAGAAAAAAATGTGTAACAATTTCTAAAAAAAAGTACTTATACAAAGGAAAGGAAGTTAAAATCAAAATCATAAATTTCTTTGAGTGTAATTTACTAGATTATTGGCAAGCACTAATTAAATCAAAATGTAAGGAAAATCAAAATTTTAACTTTTTTTAAAATTATATAATCTCTTAAACTTTAGGTAGAAAAAAATATAGTATATATATATATAAATAATATAGATTATGATATAAATATTATAATAATATGCTATATATAATATATATATATATATATTATATATATACTATATCATATATATATATATATATATATATATATATATATATATATATATATGGTGATGTCTACATAATCATCTCTCTATTACAATATCTCTCTCCTAAGATGGAGATCCCCTCTCTAGTTAGAAGATTTTAACTATCTCACAAAAGTATTTTAACATAAATATTGTTCCTAAAGAATATTCATTACACAAATTTTTTTAATAAAATATTTTACTATAATGAGTGCTTTGGACAATGATATCTTCACATCCATATGCATTTGAAATTACCTTTAAATTTCCCTTTTACTTTTACAAAAAATTACTTTTTAAATAATTATTTTCTAAACAACTGTAAACAAAATTGAAGATGCATTCACCACTTCTTATAGACCTTTTAAATTTTCACTACTACTAGCATTAGTATTGGAAATTTTTATTGATTTTTACAACAACTTTCAAAAGTAGGAAACTTATTTGGTTTCCAAAGTGGAGAGAAAACTCTATAACTATGCGTCTTTATTACAAGACGAAGAAGGAGCAAAGTTTTCTGTCATTCTTGAAGATGTTTACGGTGCAATTAACTCTAGTAGAGCAGGTGTCCCATTTCAACATGAACGTTATCATAAGAATTCCAACATTAGTGGTTACTCTCTATCATCTGATAGTCTCCAGGAACCATCCCTACCAAATGGTCGTCAGCATTCATAATTTATTTTTCCGATAATAATGGAAAGTAAACTCGTTGTATTTGAGTGTCATACTAGAAATGAGTGATCCGATAGCGGTTCAACAATGGGTGAACAGAATGTTTATGTAGACCTTGTTAGGATAGCTCTAATCATGACTCTTATCATATTAGTAAGTGAGTTTAAATCTAACTCAACCCCACAAAACTGATTTATATGGTGAGGTTTGCACCCCTTATATATTATAATTTGACATTATCCCTAATCAACGTGAGACTTCCAACACTCTTGGACTCACAATTATAATAGTCCCGACTTTCAAATATAACTTAGTTATTCAAAAATAATTTCAATAGGCTTTTTTCGTTCAAGAAGTGATTTGACATCGGTTATTCTTGGATGAAAAAGGGGGTTTTACTTATCTGTATGAAATAATAAAGTCTGATATACCTTTTATCTTCTTACAATCAAGCTCTCAATCCTTTCCTTTCTGCACTTCTAAGCAAGAGGCAGCCGCAACAACAGCGAAATCCCTTCTGTCACCTTATCACGCTTGACATACCACCTTAATCTCCGACCACTATACCTTATTTTCATAACTGCACATTTTAACAACCAATAATTTATGCCACTGTCTATAAAATCAGCATGTTCCATTACATTCCACTCGGCAAACAATCATTGTAATAACAACAACCTGTTAATAGCAAATTTGCACATTTCCAAAAGCAACCAATCAATCTAGAACTTTCAATTGCCAAAAGGACATGAAGAAGCAAATCATCTTCTATTTCCATCCAGTACTTTTGGTTTTCATATTTTCTACCCCCACTTTGGCCCAATCACCTGCTGCAGCCCCTAAACCTGTCCGTGCCACACCAGCTCCAGCTCCAGCAAAACCATTGGTCCCTTCATTACCCCAATCACCCATCTCTGACTCTTCTTCTAATCAAGACATTATCAAGATTCTAAGGAAGGCCAAATCGTTCAACACGCTAATTCGCTTGCTAAAAACCACGCAAATCATCAACCAAGTGAATGCACAGTTGGTCACTACAAAATCAGGAGGAGGTTTAACCTTTCTTGCACCTGACGATGGTGCATTCTCACAACTTAAAGCAGGTTACTTCAACTCTCTTGATGATCGCCAACAGAAAGCATTGATACAGTTCCACGTTCTTCCGTTTTATGTCTCAAGCTCTAACTTTGATTCCCTTAGCAACCCAGTGATGACACTGGCCAGTGATAGCCCCAATGGATATCAAATAAATGTGACTGCATATGGGAATAGTGTGAATATTTCGACTGGGGTGGTGAATGCTACTCTCACAGGCATTGTTTACACTGATAAGACACTTGCCATTTATCACGTCGACAAGGTGCTTCTTCCTTTGGATTTCTCAAAGCCTAAGCCTACAGCTCCTGCTCCCACTTTGGCAAATGCGCCTAAAGCTGATAAAGATAACTCATCTGCAGAAGATGATGATAAGGGAAAAACAAACAGAGCCACTTCGGGTGCCAATGCCATCAACTTAATTAGCATTCCTGGAACAATTTTGGAGTCCCTAGGTCTTGCTTTAGTCGCTGCAGTAATAATCTCCATATGAGGAACACCATTCGTAGTCTGATCCTTTCTTTTCAAAACAAGTTTTTTTCTTTTTTGTGGAATTTTTCTTCATAATTTTGTCTTGGTTTGCTCTGTTTGTCCCGGGAACAGTACTGTTTTCAGAGCTACCTTGCCTTATTTTCTTTTATGATTAGTTCATACAATAAAACGTAATATATTTTGTAAGAAAGCAGAATTGAAAGCATGAGCCTTTTATTATAGCTTTGAATTGCAAACGTCTGGGTCTCGTTAATGGGAAAAAGACTCTGAAATAGAAATACTGTTATAGGTAAAGGCATTTAGTTATGCTTTTCCTCTGTTTTGTCTTATTTATATGGAGTTTAGAAATTACAATTTTGTTTTGCTTTTTATTTTACATCTGCGACTACATATGAAGCAGATTAATAAAAAAATAAAATAATAAACTTTATTTATAAAGTTACAGTCACACTGACAATAGTAAGTTACATATAAAATTCATATCGCATACTTCACAATGATAAATAAAATTTATTAATAACTATATAGGTTTCCACAAAAAAAAAACTAAATACAACGAAAAAATACTTGTTATTGCATTAATTAGTTAAAAAATTTAACCTCTTGTGTTATAATTGGTTTGATACTAATTCAAATGAATACTAGTTTTTCTGTTCAACAAGTTGAACCAATAAATTTGATATAATAAACAAGATAAGAAATATATATATATATATATATATATATATATATATGAAGATAAATAAACATATTACTTTTAAGTTTTATATTGAATATGATATCATGATTTATTATATAAGTTTTATCATGGATAATTGGTGTTGATTTTCTCAAAATATTTAATAATTAGTGTTATTTGTGAAAATATTGGACGAGTAAAATATTTATAAATAAAATACTTATATTCAACGAGAAGTTTGCAATATATTCATTCACAGTTAAACAAGAGATGGTTAGGTTTTCATCTCAATTGAAAGTTTTAGAAGAAGAAAAACAATCATGATATGGTATTATGGTGAGGATTTAATCTCGGCGTTACCTCTCTATGAACCCACACTTTTCTGGTTAAAAAATAATTTCATTAAAAATTGTTAGAAGTGGTTTTCTAACTTTAAAAAGATATAAGAAATTAAACATTCTTGGCAGAGAGGAATCTACCTGCCTTCCTCTCTTTTTTTCGAAATTTGATTGGTATATGATTAAAGTGGGATAACCTTTTTCTGTAATTTTTAAAAGCAACATCAATCAAAATGAAACTTCCTTTTCATTTTATTTTGTGCGTGTAAGTATAGTTTGTACCTTTTCAAAAGTAAATCGGAAGTAAAAAATGCAATGAATATTTTTCTTTTCTAAAAATGCATTCAGCACACTTCATCGGATACTTAACGATAATAGCTTTCCTAACCTTTTACAGTATTTTTATCATTTTTTTTGTTTTTATGTCGTACAAGTTTTTATTGATAGAGACCACACCCTCCATTTCCTTTTTCTTTTTTAAAATGTTGTTGTGATATAACACCGAAAAGAAAGCCTACCTGAAAGAAAATGAAGAGATTTTATTTAGAGAGAACTAAAACTAATGTTCAGATGCATTAGGCCGAATAAAACAGTAATAATTATGAAATGTAAAAATGGTGGAGATGGGATATACTAAAAGAAAGGTGTATCTAGAACATAAAAGTATGGTAGGTTTCAACTTTCAACTGTGATTCTTAGCTCCCCAGTCCTTGTAGAAAAACCTGGCAGACTAATAATTTGATTTCCTTTTCTTCCTCATTCATCATCATGGATGTTATAACTCAACCTCTAAACAGATCACACACCATAATACTCCCTTTTCAGCAACTACATTTTCAGGGACAATTTGATTGCAACTACGACATCGACACAGATAGTTCCATACGTCCACAGTTCAATGCATTTTCGCCTCCAACTCCTTTATCACTGCCAAATCTCTTCTCCGATGCACCACCTTTCCATTTCCATCATAGCTAAAGCATATTTCCCACTTCCCTGAGAAAGATGCAACTCACCTTTCCTTTAACCCTACACACCTATCTATACACAAATCGCTCTCCCAGACCCAGAATAAAACCCCCTCTTTCCTTACAACACTACACTCACAAGTACCAGCACCTTCAGTACACCCTCACCTAAGCTCTCACTCCTCAACCCTAAAATGAAGACACAACAATCTCTCTTCTCACCCTCTATTTTACTAGTTCTAGCACTTGCCTTCTTCCACACCATTTCAGCCCAACTCTCGCCAGTTCAAGCCCCACTTTCATCAACCCCATCTCCACCGCAACCATCACCTCCAGCATTCACACCACCCTCTCCGCCGGCCACTGCTCCAGCCCCTGGATTCAACACCGTACCCTTAGTCCCCGTGACGCCAAGTGGAGCCCCCACTCCCACTGTCCCAAAACCACCCTCCATTGACATAGTCCAAATCCTCAGAAAAGCCAAGCGATTCTCCGTCCTCATCAGGCTCCTCAAAACCACGCAACTCATCAACCAACTCAACTCACAGCTTCTAACCTCTGGCTCGGGAGGTTTAACTCTCTTCGCCCCAGAAGACGGTGCCTTCTCAAAACTTAAAGCCGGTTTCCTCAACTCTCTCAGCGACAGACAAAAAGTAGAACTCCTGCAATTCCACACGCTCTCTTCCTTCATTTCGATCTCAAACTTCGACACCCTCACCAATCCCGTTCAGACTCAGGCCGGCGACGACCCCAAACGGCTGCAGCTCAACGTCACCACCTTCGGCAGTAGCCAGGTCAGCATGGCCACCGGCGCCGTCAACGCCTCCGTTACTGGAACTGTTTACACGGACAACAAGCTTGCCATATACCAGGTCGACAAGGTGCTTCTCCCTCTCGACCTTGTGCTTCCCAGTGAGGCTCCTGCCCCGGCACCGTCGAAGGCTAAAGGGGCAACGCCGAAGACTGATAAAACGAAGGCCGGTGATGGTGCCGGCGGTGATGATAGTGATAATGGTGACAACAAGGACTTGCCCGCTGAAGCTTCTTCTGCCGTTTCCATGAGTTTGAAGTTTGGTGCGAAGGGAATATTTGTGGCTATTGTTACTGGGATTGCTTTGATGGGTGAGGCCATTATGTGATGTGGAGAGGGTGAGAAAGGATGAGTGCTTCAGTTGTGCTGTTTTGAGTTTTGTGAGTGATTCGTCTTCTGCTTTAATTGTTTGCATGTAGCATTGGATTTAAATGCGTATACACGCTCAATTTCTTTTCTTTTTCCTTTTCCTTTTACTACTGCATCAGCTTCGGTGACCCTAACCCTATTCTTTTTCAAAAAAAAAAAAAAAAACCTTTAAAATATATATAAAAATACCTTTAATCAAAAATTTCTGTTAGCAGAAGTAATTTACAGTTGGAATTTTTTGTTTTTAATTTCTTATAAATACTTTAGGAAATAAAACGAGTTTCTTTTACAAATTAAAATTAGTTTATTATACTTAATTCCTCTAATGTTAGTTTTATAGTTCGTGCGTAAGTTATACAAATTTTATTTTAAGTATCCAAAATACTCTTACTCAAACTTTGATTAACGAAATCGTACTTGTATATATACACACACTTAAAGTATCTTATTCAAGTAATTGTTAATTTTGTCAATTTTCACAATTTAAAATCAAAGAGATTAAAAGACAAGATTGGATATTAAAAAAAAAACAAAGATTATTATATGCATGTAAGAATTAAAGGATACTCTTTTGGTACAAAATCAAATAAAAAATATTACCACTTATGTAATTAAATTATGAATTGAAAATATTAAATTTGATGGCACATATCACATTAGTGTTGAATGTTATTTAACAATTTTTAAAACCGAGATAATATTATTTTTGTGATAAACATTATCTCAATCCTAATTACGAACATGATTAAAGTAATAAGAAGATTCAACACTCTAATTAAAAACATTACCTTAAGTAATCCTACATTGGACCTAGCCATAAAGGCTCATTTAGGAAAAGTCTATATAACACTCATAAAACGAATACATTTTTTAGGAGCTAAAAACTGTTTATTCATTTATAATATATTTATTGTATTTGACAAGACTTGAATATTGAAATGCATCTGTAAACATCTACCTCAATTGAAAACGAATAAGTTATCTCGGATAAGAAAAAGAAAAGGAAAAAAGAAAGATGTTATAAGGACATCTCAATTCTTATAAGAACAATCCCAATTACTACAAATGATGAGGATAATTCCTCGAATAATAATGAAAATATTTAAATATACACAACAACTATTCTTCTCCAATTATATTTATATTTTACCTCTGTAATTTATAATATATTTTAAAAAATGTAAATAAAATAAAGTTGTAAATTTAATCGGACAACAACGTGGTACTCCGGGTAAGTTTTGTCCAATAATAAAATGTAACTGGTGGCCCTAATCCCATGAATGAAATTATTAACAGTTGAAAATTTTGAATAATATATCTTACGAAATTAACAACATTATTACTAAGACCGACCATTTATTAACTTAATTACAGTACCACACATTACTGGGCCCATCTTTTTCAAACACCACAGCAGGTCCGTTAACTTGCACAACTCACGTTGGTTCAATCCAATCCTTTCTAACTAAGGCCGGAGTGGACTCACATAATTTACCTTTTCTCTTTCATTGAAATATTTTATAATAATATTTTTTATTAGTATAATAATTATCACATTTAACATTAATATAATTTTTTATTATTATTCAGGATGTTTTTAAGTAGTAGGCATTGTCAATAAAAAAATTATACTATCGGCCAATTAAAAATCATAAATAAGATTTTTTAAGTAAATATTATCAAAACTAATAATCTTATCATACAGAACAATTGATAATTGTTAATATAATTAAATTATAATTTACAGTATTACCAAAATTATGCACTAACGAATTAAAAAAAGAAACTATGCGCTGATATTTCGTTTATGTTTAAACTTTAATACATTTATAATTCTTGGCTATCCTTCAATTTTCACTTTTGGTTACTTCTAACATTTAAGTTTAGCTCAACATAAAAAATTTAATTCAAGACAATAAAGGTCCAAGTAATTAACAAAAAGTTAGAAAGGAGTTTTGGCAGCTCATATTTACTAGCCTGGCCAATTTTAGAGGTGAATTGGACACTGTCAGATTAAAACTGGAATTTTCTTAATGTATGAATTTGACCCACTTAACACTTCCTAAGTATTTATT